TTACCTATACTGTGATACATATTTGAATTATTTAATTCCTTTAATTAAAGTTGAATTTGATCTTTTAAACCCTGGAAGCCTTTTCAAACTAATTTCTATTGATACCCATATTGCAGCAATTCATTTAACTAATTGAGCAAAATTTTTAACAGGTGGCAACTGTGTGTGTGTTTTAACCTATATTTACTTGATTTTAAACATTTTCAATTCTATATGTCAAAACACGTCTTTTCTAAACATTTCGAGTTGAAATATTCATAAAAATAATTTTGGCCGCATAAATCGGCTAAATACCCCTATGGGGGCGTTGCTAGACTTTGAGAATACAGTCATGTTTTTTTGTAGAATGATCTATATTTTAAATAAAAATTAACAGAAGAGGTTTTTAATGGAAAACATTTTGAATGTTGTAAAAAACCCCAAAAAACGAATACTTCTGTGAGTGACTGTACATATATTTCTACCCTCTGTTTTTACACGCATATACATCTAATCTTAACGTGTAAACAAACAGGCATCGAAAACTTCCATCAAAAAACAAGAAATATTGATTTTATCGACAACTATTCATAAACGCACATAAAGTTTGTCGATTATATTGAGTTCAGACGGAAATTTAATTGAGTCAATTAACCTTTTAATTGAGCTACCGCTTCTTGGTGTTCACACAGTCAGCTGAATAAAATTCTTTTAAAATCTTTGAAAACGAATTATCATTAACACTTTATTTTTATTTTTTTTTAACCATAATAACGCGATAATATCGATAGTTTTCTGGGAAATAGCTAAACGATTGATAGTCTGACAATAACGATACTATCGCGATGTTATTGATAGTCTTTCCAGAAATTGCGAAAATGATCGGTGGTGTGACTACCGATACTTTCCCACCTCTAAAAAAGCCGACGGTCAGAAAATACTAGTGTGTGAAGCCGGATAACATAAACAGTTTTGTAATGGTTTAATTGCGCAAAACTGAAAAGCATATACCCTTTCACTTTGCTCTATAAAATAGTCTCTAAACTCTTATAAGACCAAAAGGGTTCCAACCGGCGGAGCTTCGTAGTGTAAACTGTTGATCTATAGTCAGTTGTGAATTGTATGTTTTACTATAAGAATAGTACTCTCCAAAATGAGTTTATAAAATATTTAAACGTTTTATAAAACACCTTGACCTGACACTGACTAAGCGTTTCAGAGAAATGTTATACGAAACTGAAATATTTTAGGAAATGAAATGTCAATTGAATAACAATTTCAGGACTTAATTTTATGAACATCTGTCGCTGATTGGTTAAAGGTGCGTAGGACTTCGTAGGACCTTCGTAGGAGCAACATCCGCCGAGAGTGTGCTTCTGCCATGAAAAGGCTTTTAAGAAGAAAACGAAAATTTTAATTTTTTGCTTTTCTAACTTGTTTTTTTTTTTCCATTAAAAATACATAAAAATTGTGGCGCTACAGCCAGATTTCTATCCAAAGACTCTTATAAAACCAATTTGTGTATTAAAGTCCAACATATTGTACTTGGAGAGTTTGACAATGCTAAATCCTTTTAGAATTGAGCAAATTTATACAAAATCCTCCGTAAATCAGAAAGACTCATGGAAATTCGAAGTTAACGCTATTAATATTCTGCAACATTGCAGAAAATTAAAAACGAATTTTCTGGGAAAATTTACGTGATGGAATTTTTTATTAATTTTCTTCGTAACTTAGTACTAATACCTACCAAAATTTCTAATTCGTTTTTTAAGGGAGATACCATCGCAGGCCTGTGTTATCTACTAAAGTCTGGAATGGTATGGATAAAGAGTAATCATGTTCTTTGGAAAGAGGAATCCAAGAATTAAGAATTAAAATTTATAGAAGTGTATAAATTTGCTTGTTGCTGATTCTGAGTGAAGAAAACTTATAGAGATCTTAAATTTGTAGAGGATTTGCACTAATCACGAAATGGAAAAGAAAACAGATTAAAAAATAGTCCTATAAAAGTACGTATACGCAGAGCCTCATAAACCTCTTTTGGAATACATGTTCTTTATTAAGAGCAATATAGAATCCTTATAAGAGTACAGTCTACGAGTAGAGTCTTACAAAACCTTTATAAAACCGATTGCTTTTCATACGTAGACAAGAAATATATAACGGTAAGAATGGCTCATATATGTATGAAAAATTACACACAAGCGATGGTCTCACCTTTAAGCTATAGCAGATTTTTTTATCATGCCCCTCCCTTCGCGAAATCCTGGCTACGCCACTGATAAGTACTAATTTTAACAATTTTGAGCCAATTTTATTAAAATATGGTAGCTTTTGCATTTTCGAAGGTACCGTTATATAGGAAGTGGGCGAGGTTACAATCTGATTTCGCCCATTTTCAATACCAACCTACCTTGAATAAAGGGAAAACTATATACCAAATTTCGTTGAGATATCTCAATTTTTGCTCCAGTTAGCGTTAGAAGGACGATCGATTAATCGATTTCTCTTTCCATTCTGAGCATTTATGTATACATTTGTCAATATCTATCTCCATTCGTTTTGGCTGTTACTAGGGTTGCCAGATGTACTGCTTTTGGGAGTAAACGTACTCCTTTTTATTGCAATGTACTCCCTTGTACTCCAAAACAAAATCCGGAAATGTGCTCCTTTTT